TGCTAAAGAAGGACATCATACTTGGCAAAGTGAAGGGTCAGCAACACAGTTGAAGATCCTCAATGAGATGGACTGACTCTGTGGCTGTGACAATGGACTCATATATAGTAAGGACTGTAAAGGTGGCCCCTGACTGGGCAGTGTCTCATTCTGCTGTACGTACGGTTGCTACTGTCAGAACCGACAGTCAGAACATCTAACAGCACAACATATACACAAATATATAATTCCTGCAGCATATCTATACACACACATGTATTCACATGTACACACATGAAATACATATAGAAATGCAGCTATACTTTTTTTTTGCATTTTCTTTTAATGGACACACATGTGGGGGAAGAACAGACTTCAAAAGAGAAGAGTACAACTGGTTAGTCAATAGCTAATCATCTTGGTCAGAAAATACTGCCCTCCTTCTCTTTATATTGACAAGACACTTTAAGATGACCTGTTCTTAATCTCCTAGTTGTCGTTGTTGTGTGCTGTGGAGTCGGTTCTGACTCACAGCGACCCTGTACAGGGTTTCCAAGGCTGTAAATCTTTACAGGAGCAGAAAGCCCCATCTTTCTCCCGTGGAACAGCTGGTAGTTTCGAACTGCTGACCCTGAGGTAAGCAGCCCAATTCGTAACCACTACGCTACCTAAAAAAGAAAGTTATGCAAGAGATGACAATGCTTACTGGCCTTCTTAAGTCCCTATCTGCTAGCCTCTGCTCCCCCCACACAGAGCAGCAGTGCAGCCTGGGAAGTCAGGGTAGCCCAGTGCATGCTAACAATTGGCCTTTCCTGGGAGTCACTGGTCAGAGTGAACCACTCCTGGAGGGCTGAGGGAAAGTGACTTGGTGGCCTGCAGGCAGGCCTGGCTTCCTGGTACTAACTTGAGCCTGTGGACTGGTGGTTCAGCAGCTCGGGGTCAGAGGAGTCACAGTCTAGGAGACTCATCTCATCTGAATGGACTTAGGAAAGCATCTTTCTGAGCAATGAGTACACACCATGCTGTCTATATATCTTTGTAGCACCATATTTAGTAAATTCACAATATGCATGCTACCGTTTACTTCTTCTGAGCCCACGACAGATATGACTAATGTATCACCACACACTTTGACACTGATACAGAGGCCTCATCAGTCTTCTCTATTCCTACATACTCTTTTCGGCAGGTGTTACCAAGTGTTATCCAGAAATACTTCATAGTTTCCAAACGTAGTTCATATCCATCCTAACTTGCCTTTTATAAGACTGCCACAAGATCAGACAAAGGAGGTACAACTGTCTTTGTTTTAAAGATGGGGAAATAGAGTCAGCAAAGATTAAGCAACACTCCTGGGAGGGATGGAGTTGGGATGAGAGCAAGGTCTTAGTATGATCCTTCCTGCACCTGCTGTCTTGCTGCCTGTGCTGAAACCTGGGTTCAAAGCCCAGCTCAGGTGTGAGTCTCCACTTCTATGAAGACCCTGCCAGGAAGATGGAATTCCTTCTTCTAAGGCTCTGAGCCTCACACAATCGTTTCTTTATTCTTAGTAAGGAGTGCAACGTCTGGCACATAGTTGGCGTTCAGTAAATGGTTACCGAATTCAAGTAAACGGAGTCACAGAGCCTTATGCTGGGTTCAGTGTTTCTAGATCAGGAGTTATTTGGTCTGGCCCTGCCAAGGCAACCACAGTGCCAGCCATCACGTTAGGGGTGAGTTAGTTATATATTTGATCATCTATAGTGGCTTTTTTTTTTTGCAAGTTTCTAAACATTATTTTATTGGATTTTCTTTATTTGAGTCACAAAAAGCAATACATGTCCAATACTATATAACTATAGAAGGAGAAAGAAAAATTCTCCAAACCTTTCAAAAAAACAAAACTCAATTCTCTCTACTCCAGTAATCAATGTTTACAGTTTAAATATAAAGGGTTTTTTGCTCCCTGTTGTACCGGCAAGTTGGCTCTGACTCAGGTCAAAGTGACCTTGCAGTCCAGCGCATTAACTTGCAGCACCACACCAGGACTCCTACTGGATGTTACATTCCCTTTAATAGTGTTCAACTCATTCACTTACTTCCATCAAGTAGCTCCTGACACACATGGACCCTGAATATGGTTTCCAAGGCTGTAAATCTCTGTGGGACCAGAAAGTCTCGCTCTTCTCCAAGGGAGTGACTCGTGGGTTTGAATTGCCTACCATGTGGTTAGCATCCCATGGTATGTTGTTAAGTGCCATCACATTGATTCTGATTCATATGGAACCTGTATAGGGCTTCCAAAGCTATAAATGTTTATGAGAGCAGAAAGCCTCATCTGTCTCCTATGGAATGACTACTGGGCTTCAACTGCCAAGTCTGTGGTTCTCAGTCCAGTGCTAATCCTCTACAGCCACCTATCTCTACCCTAAGGTTATGTTGTTGTTGTTAAGTGCAGTCAAGTCGGTTCCGACCCATACCAACCCTGTACAGGGTTTCCAAGGAGCAGCTGGTGAGCTTGAACCACTGACTTTGCAGTTCAAATGTCTTTGCAGTCTGGCGCATTAATCCACAATGCCTAAGTATAATTATACAACACACATTATCCTGAGAATTCTTTTGTATTTACTTATATATCACGGATATCCTGCCATATCAATGCAGATGTTGTTGGTGTTGTTAAGTGCCCTCCAGTCGTTAAGGACTCATAGTGACCCTGTAAAATAGGGTTTCCGAGGAGCGGCTGGTGAGCTTGAATTGATGGCCTCTCAGTTCAAATCGACCTTGCAGTCCAGCATATTAACCAGTAGCACCACTAGCAGGCTAATTTTTGAATTGATTCTTTTGTGTGGCCTGCAGATGATGTTATAAATATTCAAATGGCCCCTGACAGAACAAAAAGGTTCCCCACCCGTGCTCTAGATGGAGAGGTGATATATTGCATCAGACAAACACTGAAGTTTTAGAAGCAGACTAGTCATGTGACAATGGGCTACCCAGTTTCTTCCTCTGGGCAATGGAGCTACTACAACCTACTCCATAGGACTCTTAGGGAAATTAAATGACAGAAACTTACTGTTATTTTCAAAAGAGAGAAAACTTTAAATAGCTTAGTAGGAGTAATGATGAGGAGGAAGACCAGGAGGAAAAGTAAGAAGAGTAGTGGGACTGACAAGCTTCAAGCTGACCCCTAATGGTCCTCATGTTCTGTGTCCATGCCCTTGTATGATCTCCTCCCTTTACATGGGATGTGACCTGTGACTTGCTTCTAAGCAATAGAGTAAGATAATGGGGATGAATGGAATACGATCATCAGCATTCCGTGATACAATATCACCCTGAAAATCACAGTTTATTACCTTTACCATATACATACGGAGTGCTGGTAGCATAGTGGTTGGTTACGAGTCAGGCTGCTAACCTCAAGGTCAGCAGTTCAAAACTACTAGCTGTTCTGTGGGAGAAAGATGAGACTTCTGCTCCTGTAAAGCTTTACAGCCTCAAAAATCCAATATAGGGTCACTATGAGTCAGAACCGACTCGAAGGCATGCCACTCCCACCACCACCATATATATACTAATGGAATTCCTGATGTGGCACTGCAGGATAAGCATTGGACTGTAAGGTAGGTTTAGACTGCAAAGTCAAACTCACCAGCCACTACTCAAAAACCCTATCTAGGGTGGCTATGAGCTGGAATGAACTCTAGGGCACTTAACAACAGCAACATCTTGCTAGCAGACTTGTTCTGAATGTGTTCTCTTTTGCTGGCTTTGATGAAGTGCTCCGTTCCAAGGCCTACTTGGAGGTGAGAGTGGCCTCTCAGAGCTGAGGTGGCCTTTAGTCACCAAGTCAGAGTCCTCAGTCCTACACCTGCAGGAAGCTGAATCCCACCAACAATCTGAGAAGGTCTGGGGAGACTTCTTCCCTAGTGGAACCTCTGGGATTGAGGCCTTAATGGTAACCTGAAGGGGCACATCTAGCTAGATCACACCTGACTCAGAAACTGAGAGAGAACTGATGTATGTGGTTTTAAGCCACTCAGCATGTGATAAGCAAAAGGAGTGGGGGCGGGGAGTTTGAGGAGAAGAGAAGAAGGTCAATAGAAGTTAGACTTTAAAAAAAAAAAAATCAATCTTAGGTTTGCATGGACGTGTCTATCTCTTTGAGTAGGATCGGCAGTCCCAATATTGTACTGAAGCCAACCTGTGTTTTCAGGTTTCAAATCTCCAGAGATCTGAGCCGTGAAGACCGCTTCTCACACTTACACAACTTTTCCACAACATTACTGTAGGGCCTGGGGCATCTGTTTCCCTGTGCCTTCTTCCTTGGTATAAGTCAGCTAACGCAGCTGCCAACAAGAGCAATCAGCCTAATGACGCCTAATTGACCTCCCGCCTCCTTGGTCTGCTCTGTTCTGTCCAGTGGGGCTACTAGGGCACTTCCCAAGGCCCAAGGCAAAGAGATGGCCAGCTGCCCACCCACCTGAGTGGCGCTCAGGGTAAGCGCTTGCTCCCCAGCACACACCAAGGCATTAGAAACTCCACAGCTCCCCCCCCTTTCTAGAACCTCCCCTCTTAGAGCTGAATCCTTTGATTTCTCAGACTCAATTTGAACTAAACAGAACTAAACCTGCTCTGTGTTTAATTTGTTTTATTTTTTGGAAATATTTCCATTGTAATCCATAAAATATTGGGGGTGGGGGGAGAGACACAGAAAGTTAGTATGATGCAAGAAGAGGGGCAAAGATATCTTTCCCCTGAAACCATCAGTATGTCCCTCTGGTGAGGCTTGCTTCTGAGAGGATCAAGATGAGGTCGCTCTATGAATACTTGTGTGTGATCTTATCAGAAAAACTGAGCTGGTACACACACTCCCTGAGCACAAAACAATCTAGGAAAATAAATTGTCAACACATGTGACAGAAACCCTGCTTACTTCTTAGATTTCAGTGTTTCCCGCCCCTTCATCCCATTCAACCCGGCCTGGACTGGTTTCCACTGTAACTCCCCAGTTCCCAATATTTAAAATCTGTTCTTACCCACAACCTGGATGATCTGAGCCAGGAGGACGCCATCTGTCACATCTTGTTGGAGATCTTTGATGAGACGTTTGTGGCCTGATTTGGCTAGATAATGATTGGCCCAGTCCGTGTAGATCTGCAAGGAAGCAAACGGGCAACGTTAGGAACGCAGCGGGACTCCATGTCTGGGTCTCAGGCAGCTGCCTGGACCAGAGCGGCAGCCGCTGGCTGTCACGCCTGTGAGTTGTCGGGCCAGCCAACACCATTAACATTCAGTGCATTGTGCCGGGCGGGCATTCAGCTTAGTAGAGCTGGGCTCTAGCCTATAGAGAGGCCTGCCACAAGGCTCAGGGAAAGCTAAAGAAAGCTTCAAAACATGCAAAGGCCTGAATGGAGCAGGGGACATAGAACTAAACAGTCTGCTCTGGGCTGCTTTGAGAGGCTGTAGCTCAAAATGCCTGCTAAATCCCCTGGCCCCTTCTCATCTTTTTCTCTTTATTGAGAAAACGTATGGGGAAGTTACCCCCCAACAGGCATCTCTTAATGGGCTGTTTCAGAGTACGAAGAGCTATTGAGTGAGCCGAGTTCTCAGGAGCCATGGTTCCTTGTAAAGAAGTAAAGTACTAAGACACAGCTTTGCCCCTTCAATTACTCTTGTGTGAGTGCAGTTATTTATAGCCATACAATAATCTCCAGTTTAATTTGTTTAATTTAAAAGCCAAGCATCATTTCCACTGTTGGGATTCTGTGAACAAAGCCCAGCAAATTCCAACATCTTTAAGCACAACACTGGTGTGCACAGCCTCCAGGAAGGCGAGGCAGGGTCACCAATGGGAAGAAGAAAGCAGACCTCTTAGGGAATAGGAGGGAGCTTCAAAACATTCATGGAAAAATGGAGTTAGAGAAGATAATGGAATTTTCCCACAAATTTTTTGAAGCCCCTTTGCTTTAGAACCAGCAGGTTTATGACCAACCAAGCCAAACCCATTACCAGAGAGTCAATTCGGACTCATGGCGATCCTAGAAGATGGAGCAGAACTGCCCTATAGGGTTTTCAAACCTATAAATCTTTATGGAAACAGACTGTACCATCTTTCTCCCCAGGAGTGACTGGTAGATTTGAACTTCCAGCTTTTCAGTTAGCAACCCAGTGCTTAACCACTGTGCCAGCATGGGTCCTTAATCAACATGACATTTCTGCCAGATTACATACATTATTGCATCTCTCCATCAGTAAGGCTGCTCTGAGAAGAACTTCATGTAGTTCACAGAGCAGTGGAGTCCTGAGTGGTCCTAACAATAAAGCTGGAGGTTCAGTCTATCCAGAGGACCCTCAGAAGAAAGGCCTGGTGGTCTGTTGTTGTACACTGGTTACTGCGAGCCCTACAAAGCACAGTTCTACTCTAACAAATATAAGCTAGTCATGAGTCAGAGTCAAAATCAATGACAACCAGTTTTAAGTATTTCTGAAGAAAAAGAAAATTTAAGAATTTCTGAAAGGTCAGCCTCACTTTTGGGTGGGGCTTTATTAGACAGCATTTGAGTAAAGCTTCCAGACTAAGATGGATTAAGAAGAAAGGTGGACTAAGAAACTACTTCTAAATGCAGCCAATGAAACCCCACAGATAACCTAACAGTCCTATCTACAACCATTCATAGAGATGGAGCAAGACTAGACAGTATTTGTTCCACTGTGGATGGAGTAAGCACAAGTCTGGACTGACTCAACAGCAGCTAACACCACCACCACAACCCACAATGGACTCCCTGGGTGGGGCAAACACTTCATGTGTTAGCTGTACCTAGGAAGAAAGGTCTGGCAATCTACTTCTGAAACATCGGCCATCGAAAACTCTATGGAGCACAGTTCTACTCTAATACTCATGATGGCAGCTTGAGTCAGAGTTGATTCGATAGCAACTAATACTGGTTAACATCCACACTGTTCTCTGAAACCCTGGCTAGCGGCGTTTCCCACCAACCACTTCTGAGGGACCATGAAAACATTCTGAAGTTTAAAGCCCTATGAGATTAGAATGGGACACAGACAAGGACACAGACACTGCCGAGTGGGAGGTGATGCTGGTGCCTCATCCCTTTCCCTCCAAAGATGATGAAGGTGCTTTTAAATAAATGAATCTCTAAAGCCAGCCTCTTTCAGACTATACAATTCAGCAGAAAGCTAAGTCTACTCAAGTTTTTTCCAACAAGTGTACATGCACACACATGGATGCACACACACATACCCATGTACAATGTGGTGTTGTGTTGAGGCCATGGAGGCTATCAGCTTGAAATGTAAACATATATGTGTGATGTTGTAGGATAGCACTGGACTGCTAACCAGAAGATCAGTGGTTCAGTTCCAGCTGCTCCTCAGAAATTCTAAGCTACTGTTGTTACTTTGTGCCATCAAGTTGGTTCTGACTCATAGTGACCATGTATAGGGTTTCCATGGAGCGGCTTGTGGGTTTGAACTGCCCACCTTGTGGTTACTAATCCATTGCATTCCTACAGTGCCACACCAGGACTACTGATAGAGGGTCGCTGTCAGTTGGCACTGACTAAATGGCACCTAACAAGAAATGCTGCCAGTCAGTTTCAACTCACAGCGACCCTACATTTAACAGAACTAGTCTTGCGTGACCCTTACAACTGTTACGTTTGAGGCCATTTTTGCGACCTGTTGATTCATCGAGGTCTTCCTTTTTTTTTTGCTGACCCTCTACTTTACCAAACTTGATGTCCTTCTCGAAGGATTGGAGGGGGCTTCAAAAAGTTCATGGGAGGAAAAAATGGGATGAAAAGATACTGGAAATTTCTATGAACTTCTTGAAGCCTCTTGGCTGTCAGAAATGGCTCTGCCAAAGTGAACCCCTCTATACCAAACTGCTTAAACATCTAACTCCTCTCTACTTTAATCCACCTACCCAGCACTTCCAAACTAAGGTTCCCAGGGCATCACTCTCATCTTATCACCCGTTCAAAAACTCTTTAATCATTCCCCGCCTGCCCGCCACTGACTTAAAGGTCAGCTTTTCACAAGGTTGAGTCAAGGTAATCTCACTACTCCTCTCTGCCCCCAGCACCTTTCAGAAAGGGCACTCTGTGTGTGTGTGTGTGTGTGTAAATGGCTTTGGAAAAGGACAGAGTTAAGGTGGTCCTCAAACTGACAAGTCAACTTCTATTTCCTCAATCTTTCTGAGCTTCAATGTTATCCTCCATAAAATGGGATTAGGCCAAATTTAAGACAGGAGGCTGGCCAACAAGGAAGGGACCAAATCCAGCTGAGCACCTGTTTTTGTAAACAGTGTTTTCTTAGCACAAAGCCACACCCATTCATTGTCTACTGCTGCTTTCAAGCTACAGAGGCAGAGTCCTGTCCTTATGACAGAGATACCTTATGGTCTGCAAAGCCACAAACATTCAGTATGGGGCCCTTTACATAAGAAATTTCCCAGTCTGCTTTATGAAGACTGAATGGGACAATCTGCCTACACATATCAAATGCTCAGCAGTAATTATACTACCCTCAGGAAAATGGACACATCTCACAATTTCCCATCTCTGTGTGTGTGCACACAATGCCTCTACCTGATGCCATTGCTGCTACCTCTGCCCGCCCTATAAGATGGAGTTCAAATGCCCATCCCTCCAGGAAGTCATTCTTGGTTTCCTGGTCCTACCCTCCACCAGAGTTCTGGTGTGGTGCTGTGGGTTAATGCGCTGGACTGCAAAGTCAGTTGAACTGCCAGGTCGGTGGTTCAAGCTCACCAGCCGCTCTTTGGAAACCCTATACAGGGTCGCTATGTGTCAGAACTGACTCAATGGCACTTAACAACAACAATCCTCCGCTGCATGCGATTTTGAGTGCCTAGAAAATGTGTATAATGGCACCACCTCAGCCAGGGGCACAGCTATCACCTCCACCTCCAGATTTTGGTAGACACTATGACTTGTCCATCTTTTCATCCTGATAGTCCCCTCACTTTGGGGATGGCACATGACACTGTAAGAGTTGTTGGGTTAAGCTGAACAGAAAGAGAATAAACAAATCCTTGGGAAACTGAATACACTTGAGACTTAAATCATGTAGGTTCTCAGCAAATTCTCAAACCAAAATCTCTTATTGATTGAAAGGAGGAAGGAGCAGGGAAAATAAATCACTACATAGTTCAAGCTCTGTCAGTAATCAAGGCCTATCTAACAAGAATCATTCATTATCCAGAGCTCCCCTACCACCACCCCCAACACACACGCACGTGCGTGCGCGCACACACACACCCCACACCACCCAGAGTTCTCAACTTTTTGAAGCAGTGAATCACAGCAGAACTTCTCAATTTACCCTTTTACAGGTTTTTAAAGGACAGGCTAAGCCTTGACAGAAATCTAGGGCCATCTCCTTTTTAGCTATTGCAGCAGTTCCTACAATGGAAATCACTCGATCAAGGAGCACCTGTTAAAAAAAGAAAAGAAAGAATACTCGCCACATTCTTCGGTATCAAAGACAGGCTTCAGGTTCATCAGCTCAGCAAAAATGGGCCAATGTGCATTTGATAGATTTTAAATAGGGGTTAAAGCACACAGGGCTTTCTGTCTGATTAAGTCTCAGTCACTGAATGTGGTCTCTCCAAAGCCTCTCAATCAGTTCCTGAAGTTTTGAACACTCAAGGGTCGCTGTTACTTTTCCCCCTAAGTCTAGTGACCCTTGATCCTGGCTTGCCATGGGGAAGGCAGGCATTTGTGCACTTTCAATAGAAAGGAACATGATGAAGAGTCTCACAGTAAGAAAGACTAAAGTTACCATCACACCACTCCTACCTCAAATCATCAAATAATTTTTAAGAAGGTTCTAGAATCATTTCACACATAGGAGATGGAATACTGGTAGTGCAAATGATTAACACACTAGGCTGGCTACTAACTGAAAGGGTGGGGGAGGTTCCAGTCTACCCTTTGGCGCCTTTGAAGAATGTTCCTGGCCATAAAATTCTGGGAGAAAAAAACAACATAGCCATGGACCACCCTATAAAAGCACAGTTCACCCCTGATACGCACGGGGTCGCCATGAGTTGGGGCTGACTCATTGGCAGCTAGTTTCATGGGAGGAGTCCGTGGATACAGTTGCTTCCC